GAAATAATAGCACTTTATTGTTTTAAACCACTATTGGAGTGGTTTATTACATGACAACACTCTCCATGGTCAATCCTCAACACAAGAGCCAGAATAACCTATTAAACACATAAATCAAAACCCTCCGATGGATTACTTTTACCCCCTCTCACGTGCATCTGTGTGTATTTATGTATTACACCTCAGTGAAGCTATGTATGTGTGTATGTGTGTGTGAGCGTGTGTGGGTACAATCATGTGTCACTTAGTGATATGGATATGTTCTGAGAAATGTTCCATTAGGCAATTTTTATCTTAAATAGGGCACAGGGATCCAAAAGAGCCCTGCCCAGGACAGGGCAGTGAGCTAAATGATCCTGAGCCTTTTGGCCCACAGACAACACTCAATGTGCAGGCAGCTGGGGAGTCATGGAAAGGGCATGTGATCTGCGTCAAGTTCCAGCTCTCCACTTCCTAGTGCGTAGCTTTTGGGCTGTATCATAGAGCACATCTACACCAGCCTAGATGGTACGGCCTTCTAAGCACCTAAGTTATATGGTATAGCCTATTGTCCCTAGGCTGCTACAAACCTTTACAGCATGCTACTGTACTAAACACTGCAGGCAATTATAGCACAATAGTAAGTATTTATGTATCTAAACACATGTAAATGTAGAAGATGCATAGTAAAAATATGGTATTACAATCTTATGGGGCCACTGACATATATGTAATCCATTGTTGACCAAAATGTCATTATATGATGTGATATAGTTTGGATATTTACCCAAATCTCATGTTGAACGGTAAGTCTCAATGTTGGAGGTAGAGCCTGGTGGGAGGTGACTGGATCATGGCGGTGGGTTTCTCCTGAGTGGTTTAGCACCATCCTATTCTCATGACAATGAGTGAGTTCTCTTAGAGATATAGTCATTTAAAAGTATGCAGCAGCTTTCCCCTCGTCCAACTCTCTCTCTCTAGCTCCTGCTCTGGCCATGTGACATGCCCGTCCCTCCTTTTCCTTCCACATGATTGTAAGCTTCCTGAGGCCTCCCCAGAGCCTGAGCAGATGCCAGCATCATGCTTCCTGGAACGCCTGCAGAACTGTGAGCCAATTAAACCCTTCTGTAAACTACCCAGTCTCAGGTATTTCTTTATAGCAATGCAAGAACCACTAAATACACAGTACATCACTCTGTTTGTGCATGTATGTGTATATATAGAGAGAGGTAGCATGAGTGAAACCAGTGACTCTTCCTGACACTGGCAGAGATCATTTATACACATGTACATACCCATGCCGCTTTTTGGAGATCTAATATACCATATAATGTGAAATTCGTGCTTTCTAAAGTGTACAGTTCAATGAATACATAGAATGGTCCCTGACTTACGATGTTTCAACTTTATAATTGTGGGAAACCATCACAGTTTTGAAGTAATGTACAGGATATAATAAATTCCATGAGATCTTCAACACTTTTATTATAACCTAGGTTTTATATTAAATGACTTTGCCTAACTGTAGGCTAATATAAGTGTTCTGAGCACATTCAAGGCATGCTAGACTAAGCTATGATGTTAGTTGTATTAAATACATCTTTGATATATTATCTTTTCAGCTTATGATGCGTTTATCAGGACACAGCCCTACTGTAAGTCGAGGATCCTCAGTATGCAAAACTGTGTAGTCATCACCACAATCAATTTTAGAACATTTTCATTACTCCAAAAAGAAACTCCATCCCATCAGCAGTCACTGTCCATTTCCCCACCTCCAGCCCCTGCCAACTACTAATTTACTTTCTGTCTCTATAGATTTGCCTATGCTAGGTATTTCACATGGACGGAATCATTTTGTAACTTGCTGCTTTCATGGAGCATATTCAAGTTCATCTATGTTATAGTATGTATCATACTATAGTATGTATACATACTATACATACTATACATACTATAGTATGTATCATACTATAGTATGATATAGTACTATAGTATGATACATACTATAGTATGATAGTATAGTATCATACTATAGTATGGCCCTTTTTAGGGCCAAATAGTATGTCATGGTATGAATATGCCACACTTTGCTTATCCATTCATCAGCTGGTAGACATTGGGTTATTTCCATTTCTTGGCTATTATGAATAATGCTGCTGTAGACATTCATGTACAGGTTCTCATGTGAGCATATCTTCTCAGTTCTCTTGACTGTATACCTAGGAGAGGAACTGCTGTGTCACATGATAATTCTATGCTTAACCTCTTGAGGAAGCGCCAGACTATTTTCCAAAGTGGCTGCACCATTTACACTCCCACCAGCATAATATGAGAGTTCTGGTTTTTCCACATCTTTGATAACACTTGTTACTATCTGTATTTTTTATTGTAGCCACATTTTAGTGGGCATGAAGCAGTATCTCACTGTGGTTTTGATTTGCATCTCCCTGACGGCGAATGCAGTTGAGTGTCTTTATCAGGTGCTCATTGGCTAGTTGTCTATCTTTGGAGATACGTCTGTTCAGGCCCTTTACCCATTATTTGATTATTTGAATGTTTTTTTGAATTATAAGACCTCTATTTCTAGCTATAAGTTCCTCATCAAAAATATGATTTGCAAATATTTTCTCACCTTCTAAAGGACTCTTAGCACATGCAGAATAAAATCCAGATCTTTTACCAGGGCTGAGAGACTTGCCAGATCCCGCCCTCATCCCTCCTGACTCTCTACAAGTCACTTCCTGCTCTCTGGCCACACTGCTCTGCGTGTGGGTTCTTAAACTTGGCAGGGCTGACCCAGCCTCAGGGCTTCTGCAAGTGCTTGCTCCCTTTGCTTAGACATTCTTCCCAGAAATTTTTGAATGGCTCACTCCCTCATGCCTGTATCCCAGCTACTCAGGATTTTTGAGATGAGGTCTCGCTCTGTCACCCAGGCTGGAGTGTAATGGCATGATCTCGGCTCACTGCAACCTCCATGTCCTGGGTTCAAGCGATTCTCTGGTCTCAGCCTCCTGAGTAGCTGGGATACAGGCATGCACCACCAAGCCTGGCTAATTTTTTTTTTTTTTTTTTTTGTAGAGACAGGGTTTCACTATGCGGGCCAGGCTGGTCTCGAACTCCTGGCCTCAAGTGACCTACCCGCCTTGGCCTCCCAACTCCCTCACTTTTTAAGACTCTGTTCAGACACCACCTTCTTCCCTAACCATTTTATCCATCTCTCCCTAAATATCCATAATATTTATCCACAATATTTCTTTCTCCCTATTATTCTCTACTCCTTATCCTTTCCTTAGTAGCACTTACTATATATAACCAGACATGATATCGTGCACTTATTTGCTGTTTCTGTCTCCCAGCTACAATCTCAGTTCCATGGGGGGCAGAAATGTCATTTGTCTCATACACTACTACATCTTAAATGCCTAAACAGTGCCAGCCACATTGTAGAAACTCAGTAAATATCTATTACATCAAACATACCCACTACTATTTACTGAGTACTTACTGTGAGCCAAACACTCCATGAAATACTTCAAATAAAATATCTTATTTCATCCCCACAACAACCCTATGCTATGAGGTAGACACCAATATTACTCCACTCTTCTAACAGATGAGAAATCTAAATTAAGAAAGTTTAAATAATTTATCCATGGCCCCACAGGTAGGAAGTGGCAGAGTAGGGATTAAACCCATGCAGTCTCAGCTGTGAACTATAAGGCTCTACCACAGCTATCCCCATTACCGACTCCAGCAAGCCCCTTTCCTTTGAGCCTCTGTTTCCTCATCTATGACATAAGAGTAGCCTCCCATCTTACCTTACAGGGCTACTGAGAGATTAGCCAGGTGGGGTCACATAAAGCAGTGGTCCCCAACCTTTTTGTCACCAGGGACCAGTTTCATGGAAGACAACTTTTTCACATATGGCCGGGTGCAGGAGGGTGGTTCTGGGATGATTTAAGCATATTACATTTATTTTACACTTCATTTCTATTATTACCTTGTAATATATCATGAGCTAATAATATAAGTCACCATAACGTAGAATTAGTGGGAGCCCTGAGCTTGTTTTCCTGCAACTAGATGGTCCCATATGGGGGTGACGAGAGACAGTGAAAGATCATCAGGCATTAGATTCTCATAAGGATCACACAACCCAGACCCCTTGCATGCATAGTTCACAATAGGGTTTGCGCTGTGAGAATCTAATGCTGCTGCTGATCTAACACAAGGCGGAGCTCAGGTGGCAATGCGTGCAATGGGAGCAGCTGTACATACAGATGAAGCTTCGCTTGTTCACCCACCGCTCACCTCCTGCCATGCAGCCTGTTTCCCAACAGGCCACCATGGACACCAGCCCATGACCCCAGGGTTGGGGACCCCTGACGCAAAGCACTGAGAATAGTGCCAGCCTCACTGTGAGTGTTCAATAAGTGTGAGCTGCCGTGATGATGTGATGACAACGGTGCTGATCACAATGATCAGATGACTTCGGTGCGGTGAAATCAATCCCTTTGAAATCAAATAAAGCTCTGTCATTGTGAATTAATATCATTCAAATGCATCGTGTGAACAGACTGTGTACAGACTGAGTCTCAGCTCTCACAGAGGGAGGACCAGCCCACTGTGGCCACGCGAGGGTTTCAGTTTCATCAGATGGGGTGTGAGAGATTTCCTGACTAGGGGAAGAAGAGATTTTGATAACATCACAGACTAAGGCCTCAACAAGAGCCTACTGGATACCTCCAAGAAGGATCTCAGTGGCCCATTAGAGACAGATCCTGGCCTAATCTAGGACAGCCATTCTCATGGGGCCATGCCATGCTTGTAAACTCCTGCTGGGCAAGCCCCACAGACAAAAGTAGCTGAATGCGTCAGAAGCCCATCCTACTCACAGCTCCCCCAGGAAATTACTGAATGTCACATTTGCTAAAAAGAGGTTGCCACCCAGATAGTTCATGTCCATGTGCCACCAACATTGTAGAAAACCTAGAGAATAGAAATGCAAGTCAACTCACCAGTATGGGTCTGTCTGTGCGTCTCCAGAGCATCCTCCTTTGAAAACTGTGCACCGCACTGATCACAGACAAAGGCTTTGGCACCCGCTGAAAGAAAGGAGAGGCCGTTACCACTAGAGCAATAGTCCATTGGTGAGGGGGGAGGTCCTGGGCCACAACTGTGCAGGTGGATACTAGGGGAGGAGACTGGACACCTGCAAAAATCCTGAGGGATCATCCATGGCTCAGACCCTCCTCCAAGAGGTGAACACTCACCCAACTGAGCTCCAAACACCCTTGTCTAGGGCTCTTCAAGAGAGAAGGAGAAACAAAATCAGAATAACCAAGATAAACAGAAATGGGGTCCAAGTGAGATACCCCGAGAAGGAGGGGGATCTGAAGAGTTAGCCCCAGGCGATGGGAGGACAGGAGAAAAATGATGCCAATGCAGGGAAATGTACCCTGTTGCCTAGACTGTACTTTATAGGAAGGTAAGAATTGCTGACATACTCAACCTGGATGTCCATGGGGGCCTCTGCCTCAATGTTTCTAACACTAAATTCATCATCTACCCAGCTGCTGCCTCCAGCTGACCATTTAAAACCCCTGAATGGCTCCCCAGTGCCTGGAGAACAAGGTCCAAGCTCCTTACCATGACTCACAAAGCACTTCTGGGTGTGCTCCTCTTTCCTGCTTCATCTCTCACACCTCACTCTTGTTCTCTTTTCTCCAGCCACACTGAACCAGGCAGGCTCCCTGGAGGAGCTGTGTTCTTCCTCATTGCCAGGCCTGTGCACATTCTTCTGCACGTCTTCTGCCTCTGACATTCTCCCACGCTTCCCTGGCTGCTATGGTGCAGTTGGAGCTCCTATTCATCGTTCATGCATCGGCCTCAATACCTGGGGCCCTATGGGTAGGTGCGGCGACTCTCCTTTATGCTCCCATAGGCCCTTACTGTGCTCCATTCTAAATGCCTGTGGCCTTGTCTTTCTCCCTCACCACACTGTAAGCTCCCTGGCAGAGGGACTGTGTCATCTTGTGCACAGCTGCATCTGCCTGACACACAGTGGAAACCTATTACTATACATATTTGTGGAATAAATAAAATGAATTTGGTGCCACTCAATAAACTTTTTCAGAACTGTTATTTGGAAGGCTTAAAGTGATGATGCCGCCATGTCAAGATGAAACAGTACTTTTTATCATTGGCTCATAGTCTTCACAGCTCTGCCACACTATCTGATCCAGGGGTCACCTGTCACAAGCCTTGGCATTTGTCCTTCAACATGTCTCCTAGATGCGCTCTTCCATTGCATTTCGATCATCACTGCCCCGTTCAGGCTCTTACTGCATGACACTCAGAACACTGTTAAGACACAAGGGTGTTTCCACACCACCAGCCACCTGCATGCTACTCAACAGATGCAGGGTCCTCCAAGGCCACTTGATTCCTCACACTTTCTTACTCAAGAAGATACAATGGCTCCCAATTTGGACTGACTCTAAATTCCTCTACTTGGCTTCAAGGCCTTCCATAACCTGTCCCGGTTAGCCACCCAACTCCACAGGTAAGAGGTCCTCACCAGCCCTCTCTGGGTGCTGCCTGACTTCCCTGAGTCTCTGTGCTTGAGCAATGCCCAGTCCCATTCCTCCACTCTATTTTCGAGAGCAGGGTTTGTGGACATCAAGCACTCCAGCCCCTTACTCTTCTGTCCTTTCCAATCTGCCACTCCACTCTGTTCCTTTCAACGTGTCTTAGCATTTTGTTGTTACTTTTGAGACAAGGTCTCCGTCTGTCACACAGGCCGGAGCGCAGTGGTGCAATCATAGCTCACAGCAGCCTCAACCTCCTGGGTTCAAGTGATCCTCCCATCTCAGCCTCCTGAGTAGCTAGGCCTATAGGCACAGGCCACCACACCCACCTAATTCTGTTTTTATTTTTATTTTTTTAGAGATGAGGTCTCACTATGGTTCCCAGGTAGGTCTCAACCTCCTGGGCTCAAACAATCCTCCCACCTTGTTCTCCCAAAGTGCTGGGGGTTCCAGGTGTGAGCCACTGTGTCTGGTCATCTTAGCTCTTCCTTAAATATGCCTGTGTTTTAGTTTTGTATTAGAGCCTCGTAAGAGCCAGAACTACATTTACATATATCTGTAGCCCACCATGCTGTTTTCAGATCACCGCAGATTTCCTGAGGCTTAACTATGTACTAGGTATGATGCAAGATGCTTAATATGTAACATTTGGTTCGTCCTAACAACCACCATTTGCAGTACATGCTATCATCACCCCCATGTAGCAGATGAGTAAATTCAAGCTCAGAGAGGTTAAGCACTTTGCCCAACACCACACAGTGGGTAATACGGTAAAGGTGAATCCAAACATAGGCAGCCTGATTTCAGAGCCTTCACTCGTAATCCCCGTACCCTTCGGCCTCCCTAGGGTTCCATCTGCAAAGATGTTTCATGGGTAAGACCCCATGAGTGGGGTCTGAGCTCCCTTCTCTGAAAGAAAATTCAATTTACCTATTTTACACATCAGGGTTTTGGGGTTAGAAAAACAATTCCAATACTTTTCTACAAATTTGAAAACCTCTGCCTTGGAGAATCAGTACATACTTTTAAGGAATGTAACTCCAAATACTAGCTGTTCCAGCACAGACTTAAATACCAATGAACATTTCTTGCAGTGAAGAATATGAGGACCCTGGCGGAGGTCTAGAATGTGAGGTCCTCCGGGGGTACTGACTTTCTTTATCTCACTGACACCTATCTTTCTACTGATGAGCAGGATATACTCTAGTAGGTGCTCAACAAAGGTGAGTCGACTGGCCAGGTAAGTGGGTAATAAAGCACACAGGGAGGATATGAACTCACTTTTCCTGAAGAGCTTTAAAAATAATTATTGTTGGGCCAGGCATGATGGCTCATGCCTGTAATCCCAGCACTTTGGGAGGCTGAGGTAGGTGGATCACCTGAGGTCAAGAGTTTGAGACCAGCCTTGCCAACATGCTGAAACTGCGTTTCTACTAAAGATACAAAAAATTAGCCAGGCGTGGTGGCATGCGCCTGTAATTCAGCTACTCAGGAGGCTAAAGCAGGAGAATTGCTTGAACCGTGAGGCAGAGGTTGCAGTGAGCCAAGATCACGCCACTGCACTCCAGCCTGGGCAACAGGGTGAGACTCCAACTCAAAAAATAAAAATAAATGAATAAATATTGTCATTTGCCTCAGGTGGCTGGGGTTGAATTTCACCTGGAGGCCGGAAGAATCCCATGGTGACCTCTGGGTGTCCCTTCAAGCCACAGAGCATCCTCAGGCCAAGCACCTGGTACATGGCTTAGAGAACTTTGAAGAAAGAGCCAAGAAAACTGCAAAGCAGTCATGACGTGTGTTCACAGGGGTAGCAGCCAAGGCTACCTTTCATCCGTTTATACTGGAAATGCAGAAAGCCCCTCCAAGAGCAGAGTGGACCCAGATGGGAAAGCTGGGGCTGGGTGAATCATAGCTTCCTCACAATTAGAAACTGCCCCCAGTCCCAAATCATTCGCCATCAGTGATTTTCTGTAGATCTGTAAGAAATCTGATTTTAATTGTATTTCTTCCTTGGGTTCTATTCGCTCTCACAGCTCTCTAAAGGAGAAAGGGGAAGCAGAGGCCCGAGGAGGGAGGCACCGGCTGGAAAGGGGAGGGCGTCCTGTGGGCTCCCACACTGGAGCCCCGCAATCGGCGAGGAGCCCGCCATGCCACAGGCTTCCAAGGGATGTGGTTCGGAGGGTTCTTAGAAAACAGCCATCACTGTGGGCTGGAGCAGCTTCTCGCTTTAATGACTGAGAAGCAGAGAGAAAGGAAGGAGGCCAGGTAGGAAATAAAGGGCCGGATGTGTACCATCAGACAAGTGCACAGGAAGATGAAGACAGATAAGCACACACGATCTAGTACAGGCGCTCCCTCGGTCCAAGCCTGACCACATCTGCTTGCCTTCAAAGTCCCGCCACTCCACCCCCACCTCACTGAAGTCACGACACTGAGCTGAGTATGTGAAAGTCCCTGTCCTCAGTGACTCTGGGCCAGATCCCTCCTTACACATGGATAACACAAATGTCAGCTCCCATTGCTAGCCCCCACTCATGAAGCCCCAATACTCCCACACCCACCCGGACAGGCTCTGACTTCCCCCCACCTCTCCAGGGTGAGACCAAAGACAGGCACAGTTCCACGGACACGTGAGCGGAGCAGGGCGAGGCAGACGAAATCCTCTCTCCCAAGGAGGCTTGTGCCTTAAAATTGTCTCTGTAATGGCTGGCTCAGAGGCAGAAATATTTGGCAGACCTGAAATTAAAAGTGATAAATTTCCTCGCCAAGCTTTGATCGATAATAGAGGCCTCATCTGTTAATCAATAAGACAGTCTCTGCCTGTTTACTGTGCATATGTTGTTCACTGCTGCCTTCAGTATGATGTCAGGTTTGCATTCAAAGCAACTCAAGTGTGTATAAACCACATGGCTATTCCCAAAATGCATTACGGTGACATCATGCAGCCACTAATACATTTATAAAGCATCAATGGGAGGGGGTGAAGGGGAGGGAAGGAGGTCATGCCAGCTGAACACAGCAGGTGCGCATGGACCTAGCAGCAGCATTTACACCCACAAAATTTCCTGGGGCTCAACCTGGAGTGGGGAGAACTCCAGGGACACAGCTCTGGGATGGCCATGACTTCCCATATCCTTCCTACACACAGGGGCTGGCTTTTGAATGTCCAGGAACTACATGCCAAGAGGTGGATTACAGTAAATAAACAAAAGAGACGAAATCCCTTCCCACAGGGAGCTTACGTTCAAGAGGGGAGGGCAGATTTTTAAAAAGCAAGTAAATATAGAAAAGGCCAGGTGGTGATAAGTGATAAAAAGAGAAATAAATTAAGGGAAGAGGGCCAGACATGGTGGCTCAGGCCTGTAATCCCAGCACTTTGGGAGACTGGGATGGGTAGATCACTTCGGCTTAGGAGTTCAAGACCAGCCTGGCTAACATGGCGAAACCCCATCTCTACTAAAAATACAAAAATTAGCCAGGCGTGGTAGCTGAATTTTAAATCCCAGCTCCTCAGG